GCTCCTATGGCCCCCCGGAGCGTGGGGGGAAGGGCCAAGAGGCTGAGGGTGGAGGGAGGGGCTGCAGGTGGAGGGAGAGGCTGCAGGACACAGAGTGACGCATGACGTCACTCTATCATCCCATAAGAAAAGGATTTTTCTATATACAGTATAGATAGAAAGTATAGATTTCTAGATCAGAAGTGGCCATTGTGGTCATCTGGGCTGACCTTTTGTAAAATACACACCATAAAATGTCCCTAAAATAGTTCCTAGAATAAATCATTTAGAAAACCAAACATTGTGATAGAAAATAATGATTTACTGTGACTTTCTATAAATTGTTCCATTGGTTAATTACTCTAACATTATAAATGTATGCCTTATGGCCGGTCTGAGATTTTCTAGCTTCAACTTCCAGCCTTTAGAATAAGTTATACCTTTCTATAATTGGAAAGCCTATTATTAATCTTTGTTCCCCATGTAGATATTTATAGACTGTAATCAAGTCAACCCTTAACCTCCTTTTTGTTAAGATAGATTGAGCTTCTTGAGTCCGTCACTAGAAAGCAGGTTTTCTAATTCTTTATTCATTCTTGTGGCTCTTCTCTGCACTATTTCTAGTTTAAAATATGTTTCTTGAATTGTGGGCACCAGAACAGGATGTTCTAGCAGCAGTTGTACCAGTGCCAAACATAGAGGTAAAATAACCTTATTACACCTTCTCACAATCCCTATTTATGCACCCAGGATCACATTAGCTCTTTTGGCTACAGCATCACACTGGCAGCTCATTTTCAGCTGATTATTCACCCTAACCTTCAAATATTTTTTCAGCGTCTCTGCTTCTCAGGATGCAGTTTCCCATCTTGTATGTGTGCCCCTACATGCTTTGTTTCTAGATTTGTAAATTTACATTTAGCTTTATTAAAATGCATATTGTTTGCGTGTGCCTAGTTTACCAAGCAATCCAGAATACTATGAATCAGTGACATCTCTGCTTCATTTATTTATCACTTTGCCAATTTTTGCGTAATCTGCCAATTTTATTAGTGATCATTTTATGTAATTTTCCCAAGGTCATTGATAAAAATGACAAACAGCATAGGGCTAAGAACAGATCCCTCACAGACCCCATTGCATAATGTATTAAATTACTTTAGAAATGTATATCATCATATAATAAAAGACTAGCATTATGCGTATTCACAAGAGGGTAATGCATATTCACAAGAGGGAAGGGAGCCTATAAAAAAATCAGACTGTGGTGACAGTGATTCAATTTTTTTCAATTTTGAAGGTTTCATAGAGAATGATTTAAAGATCAGAAAACTCTTTTCATCAAGAGCTGCCATTTCTACTTCTGGTTTCAAGAGTTTTATAAATAACAGAAGGAGTCAGAGCTCTCTGCACTCACCTACTGCCAGGAGCCTGTGAGTGGGTGTGGGGCAGTTCTGTGCCTTTTCCCCAAAGCCCCTGCCCTGGGTGATACAGCTGGGGGCAGTGGAATGGGTTGGGGCAGGAGATCTTCAGGTAGGGCTGGGACCAAAGCTCCCTGGCTGTTGCCGAGGTTGGAGCTCTCTGGCCATGGCCGGAGCTCCATGGCCGCTGCTGGCCTTGAGCTCCCCACCGCTGGGGCCAGGGAGTTTCACAGGGGCCA